TATTTTTCTTGTAAGTACATAACTTAGAGAATTTTTGCCCAGAAATTTCCCATTTTAGTGATTAGTGAAGAGTGCATTTAGAGAATAGCAATTGCGGTTTCCCACAGGGGGGTTGGCAGGGGCAAGTCCATTGACTAAATGTGTTACATCTTCCTGAATGTCGCCATGTACTCACCTTGATTGTACACTTGTGTATCCTACATAGGCATCATTATTTTCTACTATTAGACGTCTTCCGTTACCGTTATCTCTAAGATCTTAGGGATCTTACTTTTGCTTGAATATTGAGATGTAGGGCAAGCCATGGTCTGTCGCTCGGTGGAAGTTTTATGTTACCTTTTCTCTGTTCCGTGGGGCATCGATTCACGCTGGAATACATTGTAGATGGATCATGGTATCACAGCTGTCAAGTTTGTTACTAGAGTATATGATTTTTTTCTTCCTTTTAATTTAGTTCAAATTGTTAATGGAGCTCAATAACGAGGTATAAAATTTTCACCATCTCTTCGCAGGGTAATGCTTCAGGAGGATACCGTGCCCGCCATACTGGAAAGAAGGCTGATACTATGATAGAAACTGCATGGGCATCTATTCAAAGAGACTGTTCTTCCCGAGCATCCACCATCAGGTAGCTCCAATTTCTTATATATTCGTTTGGCAGTTAAGTTACCTTGAAAGGATCTAATATATGTGTACGTTCTTAATCCTGGCCCTTGACAAGAGGTCTAAGATGTTAACATAATCCTGGCCCTTGTCAAGAGGTCTAAGATGTTAACTGAATAGTTATCTAATTTTTTTGGGCTATGCTGATTTTATCCTATTGTAGTCTAACTTGAGAGAAGATGCAATTAACTGTTGAAAGGTTCATGCACCCTTCAATATATTTTGTGAACTGTCGTTGCTTCCAATTACACAGACTCAATTTCTCAGGAGTATATGCAACAAAGTGGAAAAAAAGTAAGAGATCATACCTCTTCAAGTGGAGGCAAATCAACTCCAAATCAGAAGGTTCAAAGTTTAAGAAACAGATTGATTAAGCTTATGGAGGATCACATATAAATAGTGGACAATGAGTTTTACGAACTTGCCCAATCTACGGAGCAATGGATAGTTCATCCTAAAGAAGAGAAGTTAAAGGAACTAGCAAAAAGAGAAGGCCCGTGGAACTTGTGGATACCTGTATGTGACATTTATTAATTGCATTTTTTCCCTTGCATTCGCTTGGAAAGTTGGGTCGCTCTTTCTAAGTACTGAGGCTGTTGCACCTTGGTAAATTTGCTATTTATACGTCAAATATTTTTGACTGAGGTCGCTAAGTTTATATGCAGTTTGATAGTGCCACTAGCGTTGATAAAATCATTTCTGGTGGGACCATTAACAAGGCATTTGAAGGATTACTGGGTGCTGGTCTCTCAAACCTTGAGTATGGATACTTCTATGAGATCATGGGCCATTCTGTATTGGCCCCGAAGGTGTTCAACTGTGGAGCACCAGATACCGAAAATATGGAGGTATTGAAAAAGTCTATCCATTATAAGCAATCAACGATTGTGTAGCTAATTAAAATGCTGCCTTTTGCTTCATAATCTGTGAGAGCGTTCCTTGCACCAAAAGAATAAGTTAAATAAGATTACCTCGGAACAATATAACTGTAAGGGAAAGAAAATGATCCAGTTTGGTGCTTTTCTTTTTCTCATCTTTTTAATTAGACAGCCCTGGTATTGGACTGCGTGACAGTGATATGCCTCCTTCAAAAGAGAGATAAAATGTGCAAATCACATTTAGATGTCAAGATCTTTTGAGGTTTACAGACAAGTTGAGGTGCATGCTTTATGAAGGCGGAGCACCGTTATATTCGAAATAGAAAGCTTTCTTGATTCATGTGACATGGAGAAAAAAATGCTAAAATTTCATTGAATTTGGAAACTTCGGCAGATTTTAGATAATATAACCACTAGATTCCACGAAACAGTACCAAAGTAACTTATTACATTCTTGCGTGCATTTGAAGTATTAGAATTATTGGTGTAGCCAACACTCTTGAAAGCTAACACTAACAGGAATAGTGCAATTAATTAGGTAAATTTTAGCATAAATTCGTTACCCCCTTGCACAAACCTAGGGTCACACGGGCTTTTAATTATTTTCAATAGAGTGGATTGCACAGTTTGAATTGAACTTGTGTTGAAGATTAGTAACTTATCTTAGACAACATTATTATTTCCCTTCAGGTCTTTATGCTCCAAAAGATGCTTCTTATTTCTGCTCTCATACATAATTTCATGTTATCAAGTACAGCCTCACTATCTTTCTTATGCCTTTCCTTTTCTCTAGGTATTTATGCGCTATGGAAATGAAGAACAACTGCATCAATGGCTAGTTCCCTTGCTTGAAGGAAATATCCGTTCTGGTTTTGCAATGACAGAACCACAAGTTGCATCTTCTGATGCTACCAATATAGAGTTTTCTATCAGAAGGTAGAACATTTGCAACTTATTGTGACTTTTTTTTTTTTGGATAAAAAATCACCTATAGGGTGCTGTATTGTCCTTGTTTATATGAAATAATGCAATAATACAATCTTAGGAGAGGGATGGGTGCGGAAACACGAGACTCACCTTGTTGGATGTTAAACTTTACATAAGCACTTGTAATTGAAGAATTGTTTATTGAAACTGAACATTCTGTCCCATTCTTTTGAAACCGGGAAGTATTTAGGCTCTTCAGAACATGCTCACCTATGTATAGAATTTATTAAAGTTCTATGTTATATGAATTTCTACTTGCAATCTTAACATGATCATTCTTGCATCACCAGGTTAGAAAATTTTGCTTGGGAGCTGCGAAGCCTTTTTTACTTATTTCTCATTTTCCATGATTTTTCAAATGCTTTAAAAATTAAAGCTTTAGATTGGACATAGGTATTCTGTTTATAATGAAAAGGTTATTCGACAAGGAAATTTAGTTAGATACTGGAACATATCATTTATTACATGGATGCCACATGGATGCCTTGAACAGGCTGGGAGAATCATATATCATCAATGGAAGGAAGTGGTGGACTAGTGGAGCCATGGATCATAGGTGCAAGGTCCTCATTGTCATGGTTAGTTACTGTTTGCCGCATCAGAAAGAGTTTCTTCTCTGAGTTTATGAATTAAAAGCAATTATTTTGAAAAAATATTTAGGGGAAAACAGACTTCAATGCCCCCAAACACAAGCAGCAATCCTTGATCTTGGTAGATATTAATACTTCTGGTGTGAATATAAAGCAACCTCTGACGGTGTCTGGGTTTGATGATGCACCTTACGGACATTCTGAAATATCATTTGAGAATGTATATGTCCCTGCCAAGAATATTCTGCTCGGAGAGGGGCGTGGATTCGAGATTGCACAGGTAAAATATTATTTGAAGCTCTTCTTTACTTGATAACAGTACTGGAATATACTAGACAGTACTACTATGAACAAGATTTTAGCTTTTTTCTTATTTAATGCTCTCTTCAATTTCAACTACCATTGTTAAAGAATCTGTCAAGTCACTTCTATCTAAAAGACGTGCTAATCCTAATCGTACTTCCATTAGTTTGAATGGCTTTGAATGCTCACGCGTAAATCTTTTCTTTCTGGTTGAAACTTGACGAGTCGTACTTAATTTTTCACATGGGGGACACTTAGTGTGGTAAGTGTTAGGGGTTTTCGTGTTTACTATCTTCTTCCCCTCTCCTTGGTGTCATTAGCCAGGAGAGCGCGCTGCTACACGCACTACAAAAGTTATAGAGAACACTAAATATTTTTTTGGTGTTCTTTGCTGAAGATCTCGGGTGTATTTGATGCGAACTACAACTATAGCAAGCCTTATTCCCAATAAATATGTTGTCGGCCTTAGTTGTTAGTGATTGTTTTCCTCAAACGTCTTTTGCAGGGTATGTTGGGCCCTGGAAGGTTGCACCATTGCATGTGACTGATAGGTGCCGCAGAACGTGGCATGCAGATGATGATTCAAAGAGCTCCAAGCAGAAAAGCTTTTGAAAAATTTATTGCCGAGGATGGATCATTTCTTTCTGATGTTGCTAAGGTTGGTTTGATAGAAAAATGATTGTTTGTGTGTTTAGATGATTAATAAATTTGTTTGTGGTTTGGAAAGAAAAATGATTGTTTGTATGCTTAGACGATTAAGAACTTGTTTGTGGTTTGGAAAGAACGAATGACATAGCTTATTGATTGTGTAAAAATGTTAAAGTTTTCTAACTATTACTACTACCTCTTACTTTTCATAAAGTAGTTAGAGAATGAAATTCGTCAATCCCCAATAAACCTAAACTCTATCAATCTTTAAACATCTAAATATATATTGTTTAATCCTTATTTAACATTTTACTAGCAAGACAAAAGAAGTTTTAATCAAATTATAATAGCATAATGTAACTCTATTTTTATCAATCGCTATGTGCAATATAAAAATTAAACAAGAAAAGACAAATAAAAATAAAGAAAAATGTATTTGTTCTATTAACATCTTTTAGCAACCAATTTCGAAAATAATTTATTCATGGATTTTATGGTAAATATGAATGTAATTTAATATTTAACATTATTAGTTCTTTTTTAAGCTTATATGTTAACCTGTTTTGAATATATTAATATAATATCAATTGATAAATCGCAGGTTAAAATCGAACCAAATCTCAAATTATGGTTTGGTTTGAAAAAATTCCAAACTACCATTCCTCCAAACCGTATGAAATGGTTTAAGTAGGAAATATAGCACAAATTGTTCAAATCGAATTGCGTTTACCCCTAGACAGGTTGATGCATCACACTTAATTGAAAATCTATCTAGAGAAAAATAAATATAAAAGAAAAAGTGAAAAACTTAATGAAAATACTAAAACCACTCATATGCCTGCTCACCGGGCTAGGCCTAGATAAAGGACCAAGTCGACTGGTCGAGTCGGCCTCAAAACCGGCTCGTGTCGAATCTGTTTACGCCTCTCTTGTAAGACTCATTGGCCCATAAAAAGTTGGACTTTCAACCAAGTCCAGTTACCTTGGGCTACTATTTTATAAGGCCCATGACTATTTCGTTTCAGAGGGAATAACGGTCACCAAAATTTTCAAATCTCTCTCTCTCTCGGTATCTATCGATAATGACATTCATCTCTATACCCGCACCAGTTTCATAAATCAAATCCAATTTCTTTAAATTTCAAAACGCTTGTTAATTTTGTTTTCCTTCTCGCAACCCAACTTTATAGCCCCCAGCGAAAAATTACTAGTAATGGACGGTAAAAATCGGTTTTTTAAATGAGTAACGATTTTGAACAACCGGAATTCTCCTCCGGTAAATTCATCCACACAGTACAACCTCTGCGGGACCTCGAATCGAATTGGGCCGTCGATTTAGCCAATAATTTAGAGGAATACTTGATAAAGATTTGTTCCGGTGAAATCACTGGCCACGACGATTCCCACCTGTCGGTAAATTTTGCTGAAGGTAAATTATTTAATATTCAAGCTTTATTCTGAATTTTACGTGGGTTTTATTTTGTTTATCTATTTATTATTGTTTCTGGTTTTGGGGCAATATGTAGCTGCATTGCTTCTTCAGGGATCCATACAGGTGTACAGTAGGAAGGTGGAATATTTGTATTCTTTGGTTTTACATGCGTTGGAGTTCATTTCCCGGAAAAGGTTTTGATTTTTTCCTTAGTTTATTCTATTTGAGTTAGTTTCATTCTCAGGTTCTGAATTCATAGCTTGCTTATATTGGATATCAATTTGCAGTTAATATGATACTTAATCCTTCTACAGGATGTTGAACTTACCTTTATTTTTTGCAGGGTTATATAAGTAGATGAAACTTCAAGAATAATGTGAATTATTATCAAGAAACTCACTGCAGGTTATTCAATTCTGTAGGAACAAGCAAATATTGAATTATCAAACCTTGCTTTTACAGAAAAAAAAAAAACA